ATATATATATATATATTTTCTCACAGTTCAGAAGTCTAGAAATCTGAATTCAGGGCACCAATTCTAGAGGAAGGCTGTCTCTGTCAGCTCTGGGGGAAGACCATGTCTCTTCCAGCATTCCTCCATTCCTTGGTGATCATCATGTGGCATCTGTTTTCCCGTTTGTGCTTGCTTTTCTCTATGCTGCTCCTATAACTCAGCAACGATTATCTTTAGGACACATCCTATACTGATAGGAGCTCATTAACTTAACAAAGAAAACCCTATTCCCAGATGAGATTACCTCCACAGGTATAGGGGTTAGGATTCCAACACATATTTTAGGGGAACACAATGCAATCCAGTAAGAGAAGAGTGCAGCAAATAGGATTCACATCTCACAGAAAGCCAAGGAAAAAAATATAAAGACTAAGAAAAGCCTGTTTCATTGGACAAGAAAATCTTTCTCAGTTAACTTTAGTGTAGTATCATTCAGAAGGTGGAGAAGGAAACATTATGGAGATTTAAGAAGTAAATTTGCAAAAAACGAAAGAAATGGGACAATGGGTGCTTGACTACTAAAGGAAGGAGAAAAGATTGGTAATCAGACTAATAGAAATTCGTGTGTATGTATTTGTTCGTTGTTGTTTTTCATTTGAAGTTAGGACAGACTTGAACGTATTAACAGGGCAATGAGGATTTTAGACAAGCTCGTTAACCTCTTTAGACCTCCCAACTGTTCAAGGAGCATGTAGGCTAAATGCTACTGAAACCTTCTGCCAGCTTTGATCTCCTGTGATTCTGTAAAGCATGCAAAGGAGGAACCTATGGAAAGAAAAGGATTTGAGACATCTGAATGGGAGGATATAGTTGTTACACAAGAAGGCTCATAGAGTTAACAGCCTGGAATGATGCCACCTACAAGGATCTTTTGTTCCCAAAACACAATTAAACAATGATTGCTACTTCTTGTATGTATCTTCTCTCGGCTAATGGAATTGCTGTTGTTGTTGTTAGGTACTGTCGAGTCAGTTCCAACTCATAGCAACCCTGTGTACAACAGAACTAAACACTGCCCGGCCCTGCACCATCCTCACGATCGTTGTTATGCTTGAGCCTATCGTTGCAGCCACTGTGTCAGTCCATCTCATTGAGGGTCTTCTTTTTTGCTGACCGTCTACTTTACCAAACATGATGTTCATCTCCAGGGACTGATCCCTCCTGATAACATGTCCAAGTATGTGAGACAAAGTCTCACCAGCCTTGCTTCTAAGGAGCATTCTGGCTATACTTCTTCCAAGACAGATTTGTTCCTTCTTTTGGGAGTCCATGCTATATTCAATATTCTTGGCCAGCACCATAATTCAAAGGCATCAATTCTTCTTCTGTCTTCCTCATTCATTGCCCAACTTTTGCATGCATATAAGACAATTGAAAACACCCTGGCTTGAGTGAGGTGCACCTTAGTCCTTAAAGTGACATCTTTGCTCTTTAACACGTTAAAGAGGTCTTTTGCAGCAGATGTGCCCAATGCAAGGCGTCGTTTAATTTCTTGTCTGCTCCTTCCATGGGTGTTGATTGTGGATCCAAGTAAAATGAAACCCTTGACAACTTCAGTCTTT